CTCAATTTGTACTTCGTTCAGTTACATGTGCTATAAATAAATCTAGCAAAATAAATGTCACATTGTCATTCCTCCTTTTTTGTTCTACAAGATAGTGTTACCAGGTTATAATATACAGGTTGGTCCGAACTTGTATTCCGGTATCTTCGTCAGCATATTCTGCAGATAAAAATAAGTAAAAAGTTCGTATAAATGTATGTCTAAAATGCTTTCGGAGATAGAGGGTGTACAAATTTTATTTTCATTTTTCATTTTTTCCAAATAATTTCTAAAGTAACGTCAATATTTGCATGAAAATAGGTGTCTGAGTTTTTGACATGAGAAATTTGATTTTGATGTCAATATGATTCCCTATTTGTAGGAGGCGCCACTTACAGGTCAACTGGTTTTGAAGAGTAATAACTTTTTTGTCCCGTACCTGTATAAAACTACTGAGTAAAGTGTTATATACATTTACGACGTTTTTAGCGTAAAAAATCTCTTGGTAAAATTCGACACCCGAGTAATGGTTCTCGAGATATTTAGATTAAAATTATCAATACCTGTCGTCATTGACTGACATAAATTAAACGTGTTGACTAAATAGTTATTATATAGACTGAAATCATACATTTCAAATGTTTTTGTGCCAAAATTCAACAGAATCTTTTTTATCATCATTTTTCAAAATTGATTAATTTAAAAAAAATAAAAAGTTCCCAAATTTATCATTTTCATTCAGATAACTATCTGTACTCGACATTGTTTATTTTTTTGTCAATAATGACATGTATTGGCTATTTCCATTCTAAATATCTTGAAAACGGTTGCTTGGCGATTTTCACCAAGAGATATTTTAGTAAAATCACTGAATTGTATATTTTTCCCCCAGTTCTATTATATAGGTACAGACAAAGTTATTACTCTTAAAATCAATGAAAACATATGTAGGTGGCGCCCCCTACAAATAGGAGTCATATTGACATCAAAATCAAATTTCTCATGTCAAAAAGCTCCCAGACACCAATTTTTAATCTAAATATTAACGTTACTTCAGAAAATAATTTGGAAAAATCGAAATAAAAATGAAACTACACCCTGTAACTCCGAAACTAAACATTTAAAGACATACATTTATACAGGCTTGCTACTGTACATCTGCAGAAATATACTGTCGGAATACAGTTCGGACTACTATAATAAACCTGATAACACGTCATGCGTCGTGATGCCTTAGCGGCAAGAAATAGACGTTACATACCAATTTGAACAAAATCGCAATATGTATGTCAAATCAGAATTCAAATGTGTCAATTAAAAACGTCAAACAGGACTGTCAAAAAATAAGAAGTTCTTGATATCAATTCCGTCTCGAATACAAGAATAATACATGGATATCGTACTCCTTCCTTAATCCTTTTTTAAAGGTTTTTCTTTCACTTTGTAAAGGTTATGACACAAACAAACAACGAAGAAGAAGAAGCAAACGAATAGTTTTTCGCGAAAATCATCAAATAAAACAGAGTCAAGGCTGGTTAAATGACTCGGCGATTAAGTGATAATCACCGTTAAAAATCGGTCAATGATAGAACAGACTAATGGGCGTATCTTTATTTGCTTTATCCGTTTTTCTTTCATCTTCCGAATAATGTTTCCTTCGTTCCTCGATGATTTCCACTGTGTTTTACCAGGATTCAATTATGCATGATATCTTTTAATAAGCATTTGTTACTGTAACCTCGTATCTATTGTAATATATTATTAACAGTGGATGATTATCTACCTACTGTTTATATCTAGAGAGTCCAGCAATTTCTTAATTATGATTTCCAAAGGAAAATTAAAGATTTCAAAATGATTTCATTTTGGAAAATCGGCAGAAGAAATAATAAAATATAGGCTTTTTATATATCAATAAATTACCGTTCGTTGGGTGGTAGTGAATTTTAACATCACTGTATACAGGGTGATATAAGAGTGACGGTCGGTTAGATGTTTATGAAAAAAAATTGACAAAAACATGATCTTGAATTCGTAAAATCATGTTCAGCTTATTAAAACTTTAAGAAGAATTGTGCTGCGAGACTTTTCTATATTCTATGTTTTGGATTGGATAGACCAAATTTCTGAAACTATCACGGTAACGAAATTCTTGCAATGGAATCATAATAATAGATTTATTATCTTTTTTCCATAGGACCTGTTAAAATTGCTGCCTTATATCTATCAAAAATAGTAGATAAAATAGTACTTTAACCTCAGGGTAAGATTAAATGATACTTTAACAGAGAGGATAGGTTAAAAATTTTCTTCTCGCAGGTTTTTAATTGATTCAGAAAATTTTTGTAGTCATTTTCATAAGTTATTCGGGATTTAAATGGAAGTAGTTTGGATGGCGTTTGTCGCCTCAGCCTGAATATCTGTTGGTAATTTACTTATTTCGTTTTGAGCCATTTCTGACTCCAATTTAATCAGCAATCGACAAAAAAGAGAATTAAAAAATATTGACTCAAAACGACAACTAAAGGAACAGCTTTATTTATTTGTCAAATTACATAGAAACCAACGCCAACCCAGCACAATATTTTTTCTACTCATAATAAATTTCTTGAAATAATAATTTCTGAATATTTTTTAAACGTAACTCGGTATGGAAAAAAATATTGTTTATACACGACGATAAAATTGCATTATCGCCTCCAGAGTAATTCTCTTGCGATTTCATCGCTCGTAAGATAATCTTGTCGGTCGACGATAAAATACCATTTATCGTCTTGTATAAAAAATAACTATTTATCGTCTTAAGCATTTTATCGTCTTATAAAAATAACTATTAAATGGATCTACTGAAGAAACTAGAAGGTTTAGATATAGGGGCATTTATTGGTTTTTGATTTATAGATATACCGGGTGCGTCTCAAAAAGTGGCTCATTACTATAACTTTTTATTTTTCAGATAAGAAAAACAAGATTTGGTATGTTAATAGATGACATAAATTAAGTTCATTATCGTATTCAATTGTTTTTGGTCACTTCCTGTCTCACCGGAAATGACTACAACTTTTTTTTTTGATTTTTTAAATGCCACCCTCGGTATTTTTCTATTTTATTCGATAGAAAATGAATATAACATTCTGAATAAAATGACATATCATATAATATCAACTTTTGACATTTTCGCTTAATAAAAAACCGTATTTTAAATTTCGATCTAGAGTGCCATGGCTATGTTAAAACATAATTTTTAATCAAGCGTGGAAAAATAGATCTGATCTTCTAATGTTTTTTAGTGTCTTATCCTTGTCGGTTAAAAGATGCTCAAATTTCATTTTTTAATCATATCTTAATTTTTCAAATGGACGAGGGGTGGCTCATTAGCATATTTGGAAAAAGCATTTTTTACGAATAATTGATACCACACACTTGGCATTTGAGTCAAACTTTCGTTATAAACCGCATGTTATAATTTCAAATAAACCATATGCAAAAATGTCAAAGAGATTGACATACGATAGTCATTCTATTCAGAGTGTTATTTCTATTGAATAAAGTAAAAAGATACCGTTACATTTATGGACATGTACTCTAAATTAAATTTTTAAAATGCTATTTTTAATTGGAAACATTAAACGTTATTAGAACATGGAATACATGCTATGTCATTCTCGAGGTCATTCTATTCAGATGCCATTTCTATCAAATGAAGTAAAACAAATGGAGGTGTCATTTAAAAATCAAAAATTGTAGTCCTTTCCGGTGAAACAGAAAGTGACCGAAAATAATTGGGTAAGTCAATCAATCTAATTTATGTCATATACTAACATACCAAATCTCGTTTTTTAACTGAAAATATAAAAAGTTATAGGGGGTGAGCCCGTTTTGAGACGCACCCGGCCCTCGTGAGTTTAATTTAAAAATAACGAAAAAATTGAGCAATTCTAAAGGAAATAGAAAACAGCAGCTTTTTAAAAAATGCATTTAATGAATTCTATATAATTTTCTATTTTTTGTATTTTAAACCTTGGTGTTCTAGTAGCATACTTGTCCTGCATCTTTTTGTATAAAATAATTGAATTACTGGTTTATGTAGACCTTGTGAAAAAAAGCAACATTCTAAGGAATCCTGTTTTGGAAACACTCTGTATATGACTTCTTTATTTGCCAGGGCTTATAACCAATGAACATAATTAAATATTTAATATAATTTCATCAAACGTTTATAAAACGCATATCAATTAAATACTAAATTATATCCAATTAATTGAAACAACCTACTTTACATATTTAACATATTTTTACAATATAAATAAAATTTTATGATTTAATTTCTTTACACAGGTGCTTGAAGACATATTGCTAACGTAGGAAATTATATAAGGAACAATTTTAAATATTTTCAGCTAGTTTTAAGTGATGTAATTAAGTCTTAATTATTAAAGAAATCTGTTTTTTTTTTCAGGCCTGGCCATTCTCTTTTATGCAGCTTATTGTTTTAGACCAATGGTAAGAATATTTATATTTAATTCTGTCTCTTAAACAATACGTTAAGTGTCATTTTGCAAATTAAAAAATATTACCAATTAGAGATGTATTATACTATCGATTTTCTAATGTATCGATAATTTTATATACGATATCCAATATTTTGAATGGCTATTAATAATATAATACATTGTATCTATTGATAACAATCCAAAATTTAGTTTCCTCTAATTCCAAGTGGTGAAATAAATATTTTGTGCTGTGAATAATGACACAGAAAATGTATTAACGATATTTACATGATATTTTAGCTAGTCTACGGTTTGAAAGCCGACGACAACCTAGAACAAAGCAGAAAAATACAAAATGCCAACAATGACTACTTTCAATACCTCCAAGGTATTGAAGGTAAACCAAAAAGGGACTATCCTGCTTATTCCTACATTCCTAGGACATCTTTTAGCTGTAGAGGCATCAAATCTGGATATTATGCTGATCTAGAGACTGAATGTCAGGTATAATATAACATGACTTTTAAAATAATTTCCAAAAATAAAAAAAAATCTTCAAGGTATTTCACATATGCGAAGATGGAAGAAAAATCTCGTTCTTATGTCCCAATGGTACCATATTCCAACAAAAAGAGCTTATATGTGAATGGTGGAACAAAGTAAATTGTACCAACTCACCTAATCTCTATGAGGAAAGTGCTGAAAAGCTTCAGAATGACATTGCTAGAAGGAAAGCTTCAAGAAAAAATGATTCTTTAAATGGTAAGTTATAAAAAATACAAAATATCATATTTTCCAGAAATTATGTACAGGTCTAGTCATTCTAAATCAGTGGTCAACATTTCAGCGTGTAAGACAATGATGGATAAATTTAGGATTTTAAATTCCTAATTTATTAGGAATTTAATTTTAATTCTAATTTTATTTTCAGTTGAATTTAACCATGGAGCTGTTATGAGAACTGAAGAACGTGTCTCAACCAGAAGCAGATACAACCGACCAAGTCAAACGAAGAATACCAACAGAATACCTAACAATAACGACATAGAACAACACATTGAACAAGCAGAATCAAATAACAGGCACCTAGCAAATGCCCAAAAGAAACTTAAATCAAATTTACCAATCTGACAGAACTTCTAAATCCAAACAAACCAAAAGATATTGAACAAGAAACTGGGAATTTTGGAACTAACAACAATTATGACACGGAACAGAATAGACAGATTAAGAAAATAGATGTTAATTCAAAAAATGATTTTAGTTTTGGTGAAAAAATTGATAATTCTGGTACATCTTTCAGAGGAAGTACTAAGTACACAACGAAAAACAAAGAAGAAAGAGTTACGGAAGAAAGAAATTCTTTTAGCACCCAAAGAACTAAGATTTATAACCATAATTATTTTAGTACAAGTGAAGATACATCAGAAAATGGATCAAATAATAATAAGCCTAAAACACAACAAAATACAAACTTCGGAAAAAATAATTTCAATTCAAATGTAAATTCTGGTGTACCAAATAACGTAAATCATTATTCTTCTACCAGAAGTCCTGCTGATTCTTCATATTCAAGAAATGTTGAAACTTCCAATAACAACTATCTTTCTCCTACTTCCACAGAGTCGTCAAACCCAAATATTGTCTCTACCTATCATACAGCATCTTCATCTACCTACAAACCCCAATATCAACAAAATTATGGTTCTTCTAAGGCTCCAAATTACGAAGTTCCTCCTTCAACACATCGATCAGTAGTATCTACACCCAGAAGTGTGAATCAAGCTTCATATAATTCTTTCCAAAATCAAATACCTGTAAAAATAATAAATGACGAAACCGCACAAAGAAAAAATTTTGAAACTGAATCAAACAACAGTCAGGAACTTGAGACACAAGTCCCTGAAGAATCTTCATCTTTCGTTAAAAATTCGTTTAACAGCATCAGAGATGGTACCTATAAAACATCTTCTGGTATATCCAATCATCGAAGTACATACTCTGATGTAAAAGACCTTAGTTTTCTTGAAGCACCTAAGGTTTCTGCAATATCCTCTATTACGCCACATCTAGTCACTACCCAGCCGATTAACAGCGGTAAACCTTTCGTCGGTAGTAGAATTGGGACAACTTTACTACCAAACCAACCTACAACTCAGTCAAAATACACTTATTTACCCAAAAACGACAACAAGGACTTGTTTAATCTTGGCAGTACTGATAAAACCCTTCCTCCCATTTACACTACTACAGCATTAACAAATCCTATTCCAACAGAACCCTTTAATCTCGGAAACACCGATAGCACCCTTTCAACGAATGTACCTCTTAATTATCACACGACAACTTATAAACCTTTGGATTTACCAGTACCTGAACAAGGATCTTTTAACACTGGACTACGTGAACCCGTGTATGAACCACCTTTTATCAAGAAAACGGTACCGCTTCTGTACCAATCTAACTCAACTGAAGCACCATCAAATCAAGCTACGGTATATGGTACTTTCGTTTCCACCAACACGCCTTATAGTCCTACAGTACCCACTGTAACACCAAGTAATTCTTTTTATCCTAGTACCAATCAAGGAATACCTATAAGGTTTGAGAAAGGACAGGATAAGGTATCAGTGCAGTTGTCAAAGAATGTTTTTGGTGAGAGACAGCCGATTAAAACTAGTGGTGATGAGTATGTGAGATTTAATACTCAAGTGAGGGTTAGAGGAGATGGTAGTAGTACTACTCCAGCTAGTAGTACTCAACAGAATGGGTTCTTTATTACTAGGGATTATAATAGTGGTTTTAATTCTCCTATTCAGAGGGCAAAGGCGTTTCAGAAGAGTAATGATTTTATCCAAGATATAAATAAAAGTAAGTACCTACTAAATGATTAATTATTATACAGGGTTGTCCGAACTGTATTCCGGAAACTTAGGCAGCATATTCTGCAGATAAAAAAAGTAAAAAAGTTCGTATCAATGTATGTCCTAAATTGCTTAGTTTCGGAGATACAGGGTGTAGAAGTTTCACTTTTATTTCGAGATTTTTTCCTAATAATTTCTGAAGTAACGTCTATATTTGATGAAAATTGGTGTCTGGGAGTTTTTTGACATGAGAAATTTGATATTGATGTCAATAGGACTCCTACTTGCAAAGGACGCCACCTACATATTTTAACTGGTTTGAAGAGTAATAACTTTTCGTCCGTACCTGTATAAAACTACTGAGCAAAAAAGTATATCTTAAAATATTTATAATATATAAAATTATTTATTTACGACGTTTTTGGTAAAAATCGTCACGAGTAATGGTTCTCGAGATATTTGGAAACGAAATTATCAATACCTGGTGCTGTCATCATTGACACAACATTAAACATGTTGACTAAATAGTTATTAGATCGAAATCATAAATGTGTAATGATTTTGTACTAAAAGTTCCACAGAAACTGTGGAACTGTCTAATCAACATGTTTATTTTTTGAACGGTTGCTCGTGGCAAGTGCCAACAGTTAAAACACATGTTGGTGGCGCCCCCTACAAATAGGAGTCATATTGACATCAAAGTCAAATCAAAAAACTCCCCGACACTAATTTTCATCCAAATATTGACGTTATTTCAGAAATTATTTGGAGAAAATTGAAATAAAAATAAAACTTCTACACCCTGTATCTCCGAAACAAAGCATTTTAGGACATACATTTATATGAACTATTTTACTTATTTTTATCTACAGTTTGGACCACCCTGTATACCACATTGAATACAATAAAGACAGAAAATGGGGGACGTCATAGAAGGCATTTTAAAACTTTCTTTTATCAGTTTTTTGAGTTTCTATCTACAAATTATAATATTTTCGAAAGTTTGTTACAATTTTCTGTGTCTATTTTGGATTATTGCTTCTTTATTTTAAAACTGGTTTTATACAAAGTGTATAAATCTGGATAAACTCTCTGTTTTAGAACAATTTGGTTTAGAACAATTGATTGTTTTGAATTATAGTTAGAATCTTAAAAAAAGACTTTAAAAATTGGTACATTATTTAGCTTACCATCGACAAAAACAAACTTTAGTTGATCAACTTTTTGCTAATAAGTACCTACCTAATAGTTTTGTTACAAGTGGTAAAATAATCAAGTACTTAAGAATTTTATTCAGAGTTAACTAAATATGTCATATAACACTATATTCTTCGTTTGATGTGCGTGTTTGTGCAACATTTGTGCAACTGCACAAACTAATGCAGATAATTTTAATTCTCCGGTATAAACAAAAATTTTTGTAAGAAATTTTATATGAAAAATAATAAAATTTATTACAAAAATATAGGTAAATGAGGATGTGATTGTTGTTTTTAAATAAAGATTATTTAATAATCTTTATTTAAAAACAACAATCACATCCTCGTATACGCTTTTTGTATATTCGTGAAACCTGTGGTGAAACTCTGTTTACAATATATATTTTTTTACAGTTAATCTAAACCAAAACCAGAAAACAAAACCTGTATTTCCATCGTATGAAATCTCAAGTCCAAGACCTTTTGGTACCCAACAAGGACCCACAGACCCTACTCCATACATCACAACTGGATCACCACCAACTTCAAGAAACGTCTACGATAACTTAGACAACATGATTGGAGTCCTTCAGGAAATTGCTTCTTACAACACTGCCCAAAACAACGAAGTACCATCCAGAAGTGGCTTGGTGATTCCCCCAAGCGTTGGACCGCAAACTCTTCATTCTCTCGCACAGTACTTTGCTAATGAAGTTGGTGAAAACGAAGCTGAATTGGAAGGGGATGCCAAGGAGAGACTGACAGGATTGTTGACAGCTATGACAGTTCATGGGTAAGTGGAGAGATTTAGTTAATTTAGTTTAATAGTATCTATTCTTTGCCTTAGGTACAACAACTTATTTAATTCTGAATCTACTTCTACAACTACATCTCCAACAACATCAAGTGCTTCTACTACAATCCTAACAGATTCAAGAATTGGAAATGAGAATAGTCAAACAAATACTGCACAAGTAACTGAGCCTACTAATGGTAATATTCGTTTTATTTTCCTATAATATAGTAGTAATGGGATAACTCGAGCGAAAATTCGCTCGAGTACTCGATTATTGAAATAACCGACATCGCTCGATTATGAACGAGCGATGCAAGTGACGATCGAGTTACGAACGAAGAACGCAAGCGATCCTAGAATGAAATACATTGAAATCCAATTTTAATGTGACATACTCGATAAAAAGCCGAGCGAATTTTCTACATACATTGCAGGTAGCAAATTTATACGACGCCGTATATACAGGGTGATTTTTAACCTATACGCATAAACTTGGGAAATTATTGCTGATGACAAATAACGACTAATAATGAAAAAAAAGCTAGTAAAATATTTTTAGATTCTGAAATAATTTGAGTTTTTTTTTCACAAAAATTTATCAACTTTATCACTAATGCACATTCAATTTAAGGGAATATACGTTTTTTGTTTTTATTTCAAATAGTTTGTTATCTCCGTAAATAAAAATATTTTACTAACATTTTTTTCATTATGAGTCATTATTTGTCATCAGCAATAATTGCCCAACTTTATGCGTATAGGTTAAAATCACCCTGTATATTTATTCGTTGCGTATCTGAGGACAAAATTTTACGACCTACATCGACAATGCTTTGAAATAAACTAAATCAAGCGATCAAGCGATCAAGCGAATCGCTCGACGCTTGCTACTTGCCATTCATATCGAAAGAATATGTGCCCTGCGCACGCAACTTACTGCGTGGCGCTTGGCGTTAACAAGTACTTACAACAAGCGACGGACGAAAAACTGTATTTTCAAATACGAGCGACATTTCGCTCGAGCGATCGCTCGGTTATAAATAAATAAATGCCTTTATTGTCAAAAATTTTTTCAATTTGTAGACAAAGGTAAACTAACAAACAAAGTAAAAAACAAGGTACACAAACAAACAAACAAAATATAATACAAAACATTATACAAATAATATTGTCAGTCTTATTGTTAAAATAAACATTTATAAATGTTTACAATGTCAAAGAACAAAAATAAAAATAATATTCAAAAATATTTAGCTAGTTTATAGTAAAATATCAATGACCTCTAAATAAATTCATTTCGATGTCATTAGTAAATATAGCAATAGCAAACATTAGACCAGTGTTTACAAGATCAAATTTGACTTTCAAAATATAATTCATTTACGGCGTAGAAAGCCTTGACTAGTAAATAAGAGTTCAAAGCTCTGCGAAATGAAAAAAAATGATGTTATGGATTTGATTTCAAATGGCAGGTGATTGTGCATTTTTTTCGAGTTGTATAATATTGAACTTTTAACTAACTCTGAGCGTGGGGTAGGTAGATAAAGATCTTGCTCCGCGTTCCTGAGTGGATAAGTGTGAGATGGCCTTTCTTGAGAAGCTGATACATGTTTACGTATTAGGCAAACGGATTCAAATATAAATAAGAAAGGAAGAGTCAATATTTTTAATTCTTTAAAAAGTCCTGGCAATGAGTTCTGCTGTTTAGTCCCAGTGAATATCGAACAGCACTCTTCTGGAGCTTGAAAATGCAGTCAAATTGAGTCACACAACACGCACCCCAGAAAGGAAGGGCATATCTGAGGTGCGACTCAAAAAGTGCATAATAAACAGTTCTAGCCACTGACAAGTTAAGCTCCTTAGAAAGAGACCTTAATGCAAAACAGGCAGAGCTCAATTTTTTCGACAAAGCTTCGATATGTATGTCCCATCTTAGAGAATTGTCCACAACAAGCCCTAAGAATTTTACAGATTTTACGACGTCAATGGTGGCGTTGTTAACTACAAAAGGCTGCAACGAGTTTTTATACGACAAAGCTTTAGTTTTAGAAATGTTGAGACTCAGGAGGTTCGAATCGCACCAAGATTTAATAGTGATTAAGTCATTTGATATAATCCTATGAAGTGCCGTGATGTCCTTGTTGCTCCAAGTGAAGCTAGTGTCGTCCACAAAAAGACATATTTTGCCACTGATGTTTATGTTAGCAAGAAGAAACAAAATAGGGACTAGTACTGAGCCTTGTGGTACTCCACATTCTATTGGCTTGCTAGAAGACAACGTGGTATCCACCCTCACAAGTTGACTTCTGTTGCTCAAATACGACTTAAACCATTCGAGAGATGATCCCCTGAACCCATAGTGCTGCAGTTTATTAATTAGGATCTTATGATTTACACAATCGAACGCCTTAGAAAAATCACAGAAAATTGTTGCTGTAGAATGATGGTTATTGCAATCGCTTGTAACTCGAGTACTCGATTATTGAAATTAACTGTTTTTTTCCATCACTATAATATAGGTATTTTTTAATATTCTTTTTTTTTTCTAGTCAATGAAAATGACTTACTGTCAACCACCGCTTTGCCAGAGTTACGTCAATTGGCACGTAATTTCTCTTTGGCATTGTCCAGTTATTTGAACAATCCAGAGAATTTCAGAAAAACTTTGGAAAGCTTTAGGCCTACAGAACCACCCCCATTAGAAGGTACAGATATACCAGATACTATATGTAAGTTTTCAATGTCATTTTGTGTGTAATTTTAAGAGATTGCAGTTTTTACTAAAGAAATATCTATCACAATTTACCTTGAACACCCCACTCTCTTATACAGGGTGTTTCAAAAAACATGTGCCATCTCTCGTGGGGACATTCCTCACGTAAAAATAAGACTTATTTTTCATATCAACATAGGTTCGATTCTGCTTTGTTTCGTACCTACAGGGTGTTAAAGCCTTAATATTTTTTCGATTTATTTTAATTTTCTTCCAAGTACTTGGGGGTACCAAGGGCGAAAGTTACTATAAATGCGACATATTTTAAAGCTAAAAAAGTGTCGACATATTCACCAGGGACGTGCATATGGATTATCCCTGGAATATTCTTCAGAAACAAATCCTAAAAAAAGGATGTACGCCACTGACTTTTTTTCTCTTGTTAGCGAAATAGTGTAAGCTGTTTAATGCCGATTCAAAGTTGTCTCTTGATATTTTGTCGATTTTGGCCTGCTTGATGAGATAAACGGAATTTTATTAATTTGCCTTGGTCCAAGTGTAATAACAACCTTTAAAATATTTTAATATCATTAACTTGCGAAAGTTTTAAATAAGTGCTCATTGATTCCTTATCAAAAAATATGAAAAAAAATTTCTATGAACATGGGTATGGAAATGAATAGTTTTAGAGTTACAGGATGTTAAAACTTTTTAAAATTAGTTTTTTTGAAATTATCTTAAATAGCATTTATTTTTTTATTTGAAATTTCTGTAGGTTGGATTAATAGTAATAACAACTAATAGAAATAATATTTAATAATAGATTAGGTTTAAAAATAAATTTAATAATAAATTTATTTTTTTATTTGAAATTTCTGTAGGTTGGATTAATAGTAATAACAACTAATAGAAATAATATTTAATAATAAATTAGGTAAAACACATGTTTTTTTTTGAAAAATATTTCAGTGATAACCCATATACACGTCCTTGATGAATTTATCGACACTTTTAGCATTAAAATATGTAGCACTTATAGTAATTTTTACACTTAAAATTTAATTCGAATCACTAAAGTACTTAGAAGGAAATTATAATAAATCGAAAGATTATTAATACTTTAACACCCTGTAGCTACAAAACATAGCAGAATCGGACCTATGTTGATATGAAAAATAAATCTTATTTTTACATGAGGAGTCTCCCCACGAGAGAAGGCACATGTTTTTTGAAACATCCTGTATATGTCATTTTGCTATTTTAAACTCTCTGAAGATGATCTCATTTTCCGGTTTCTATTTTCAGCTAATGCTGACGAAGAAATACTCAATTTCTCCGACCAGGACATCAAACCAAGCACTTCAACTTTTGCACCCTCACCAACATGGGGCTTCATTGTCGCTTCCGGTGGTGACAAATCCGTATCGGAAGAAGTGAAGAACTCTCTGAATCCTGATCTGAACACTGCAGACTCTCAGTCTTTTGTACCTCGGTTCAATGCTGTTAATGTTGCCGAGAAACAACCACAGAGTCGTAGTAGTTTCACTGATTTACCCC